CCTTAGTCCTTCACAGAACTTTACCCAGAACATCAGGTGCCCCCCACCCCAGACTCTCTCTGTCAGTGGTCTCCTTCTCGGGGTGTTCCACGGGAGACTGGCTCCTGCTAGTCCTGTGACTGACACAGTTCATTGATACTCCAAAAGTGCTTCATTATTTATTTATTTATTTATTTACTTATTTGACAGAGATCACAAGTAGGCAGAGAGGCAGGCAGAGAGAGAAGAGGAAGCAGGCTCCCCGCAGAGCAGAGAGCCCAATGTGGGGCTCGATCCCAGGACCCTGGGATCATGACCTGAGCTGAAGGCAGAGGCTTTAACCCACTGAGCCACCCAGGTGCCCCCAAAAGTGCTTCATTTTAATCATCGTTACTTAAGTACACTGTTTTTTTTGAAGAGCACTGACAAAACATTCTCGAATTTATTGTCACATTTACTCTTCAGAGCAGTCCCGTGAGGTTGACATCCACATTTTACATACGAGGACACTGAAGCATAGAATGCAACTAATGAGTCATTGAACACCACATCAAAGTCTAATTTGTACACTATTTGTAACACATTTAAAATCTGGTAAGGTAGATGCATTCATATTACATTTACTTTTAAGAAAAATCTGGTGGCGACGCCTCACCAGCTCAGTAGGAGGAACATGTGACTTTTGATCTTGGGGTCATGGTTTTGATTCCCACATTGGATATAGAGATTACTAAAAATAAACTTTGAGGGGAAAAAGTTTCTGATGATTCTTATATTTCCCCCCGCTAGTTGAATACATTTTTAAAATCCCTGATCCACAGAAGCCTGGGAGGCAAACTAGATCAGCCTCCTAAGAACCTCTGTTTCATCCTGAACCCCTCTTCCTTCCAGGGAATTACATTCATCTCCGTGGGTTCTTCTGATTCCATCAAGCTTTTCAGTTCACTGGAGAGCAATCAGGAATGTTTTGATTGAGCATCTAGTGTGTCCTAGAGAAAGAGCCAAGACTGCACTGACAGGAAGATTTCACCGTAAAGGGAGGGCATGCTGCAGCGAGTCTCATTTACCCCGTTCATCCAAATTAGGGCTGCGGCAGCCTCACTGTGCAGTTGGCTCTTGAACATGCAGGAGTTAGGGATGCCAACCCCGTGAGTTCAGAATCCACACAGAACTTTTGACTCCCCCAAGTCTTAACTAATAGGCTACTGTTGACTAGAAGCCTCACTGATAACATATATGTTCCATGTATTTTATATTGTATTCTTATTTTTAAAAAAGATTTTATTTCAGAGAGAGAGAGAGAGAGAGAGATCACAAGTAGGCAGAGAGGCAGGCAGAGAGAGGGGGGGAAGCAGGCTCCCCGCTGAGCAGAGAGCCTGGTGCGGGGCTCGATCCCACGACTCTGAGATCATGACCCGAGCTGAAAGCAGAAGCTTAACCCACAGAGCCATCCAGGTGCCCCTTTATATTGTATTCTTACAATAAATTAAGCTAGAGAAAAGAAAATGTTACTGAAATCATAAGGAAGAGAAAATATATTTAAGGTACTGTATTTATTTTTAAAAGTCCAGGTATAAAGGAACTCATGCAGTTCTTTTTTTTTTTTTTTAAGATTTTTATTTATTCATTTGACAGGATGAGAGGGAGCAGAAGCAGGAGAAGCGTCAGGTGGAGGGCAGGGAGAAGCAGCTGTCGCCTCAACTGCCTGCTCATGACCTGAGCGAAGGCAGACGCCTAAGGGACTGAGCCACCCAGTGCTTAGGACCCCATGCAGTTCTAACCTGTGTTGGTCAAGTGTCATGTCATCTGTACTTGGTCATTCAGGGCTGCTCCCTACAACCCCGTTCTTTGTCTTTCCACTCCTTGAAAAGAAACTTAAAAACAGAATCCTCTTTTTGGGGTGCCTGGGTTGCTCAGTGTGTTAAGCCTCTGCCTTCAGCTCAGGTCACGATCCCAGGGTCCTGGAATCAAGCCCCTCGTCGGGCTCTCTGCTCCGCGGGGAGCCTGCTTCCCCTTCTCTCTCTCTCTACTTGTGATCTCTGTCAAATAAGTAAATAAAATCTTTAAAACAAACAAACAAACAAACAAACAAACAAACAAAAACCCAGAATCCTCTTTTTATAAAAAGTAGTAAAGACATGGGTAGGCAAAAAAGAAAATTAAAATGCCCAAGAAAAGTAATGAAGTAAAATAACTCTATCACCTATGTTCAACCAGGGTTTAACAATGTGGCGCATATCATTTTACGTCTGTACTTTTCAAATAGGTTCAAATCACTCAAACTCTTGCTACACGCCATTTTCTTTGTACAATGTATCACGATCACGGGCAGGTCAGCGTTCTTCCGAAGCATGATTACCAATAACCTCCCAGGAGCCTGTCCTCTTTGTGAAGCATCTTTCACCCGATGCTTGGCTTGTTTCCAGATTTGCACTTGAACAAACGCTGAAATGTTGATCTTTCTGCCCATGTCTTCTGCATCAGCTTATGCACATAAGCTGTGGCGTCAGAGAACCTTTCCAGGAAGAACGTGACTGCCTGTTAAAAACCAACTCGAAGTCGTCCTGGTCCCTCACACAAGCTTACTTGTGTGACAGAACCCACAGCTTAACAACCACCTGGGCAGAGGCTAGACCGTGTCTGAGCCAGGAGGTGGGCCGTTTAGTGATTTCCATCCATCTTTTAGCGGGTCTGTGAGAACCTGGGACCCGCCCCGGGGCCATCCTAGCTCAGATCTCTGGGTTGGACACGCGGTCAGGATGGCGTGGATGTCAGCTATCTGTCCTAGGTGGCCGCTCTGGCGGGGCGGGCAGGTGAACCTGCACCGCAGACCCCCGTTCCCTCTGCGGGGGGCCACTGTTCAGATCCTGTCTCCTTGGGCTGGCTTTTGGATTTGAAAGGTTACCTCCTCCCACGCGGGCAGGGTGGGGTGCGGATCTCAGCATGGGAGGGGGACGTCTGCCCAGAAACTGTGGACTCCGCTGGGCTTTGGCTCCGTTGTGCACCCGCGCAGGTGGTGTGGGGTCACTCAAAGGTCACAGCTTTCTCCTGCCCTCGCAGGCACGAGGGTCGTGGTGCTTTCTCCTCCACTGCCAACCAGACTCTCTCCGCAGCCCACGACCCCCCAGGCCCTGGCCCCACTCTTTCCTGCACCTGAGGATGCGCAGAGCCAGGCTCGACTGCGCCTCCAAACCCCCAGAAACTCCTGGTTACTCCAGAGCCCCCACAAACTCCCCCGGAACTTCTCCGTTTCCCCAGAACCCGTGTAAAACCCGGCGGCCCTCCCCCGCGCAGGGGTACGCCGGGGCGCAGGCCCGGAGGCCCGGGTTGTCGGGCGGAGCCCTCGCCCGATTGGCCGCGGCCTCGATACTTTGTTGCGACCGCGCCTCCTCCCGGGAGGTGTGGGCAGAGCACGTGCGGCGAGCGCGGAAGCGCGGCGCAGCGAGCAGCAGGGCGGGTGCCTCTGGGCAGGAATCTCGCCCTTTGCTGCGGAGCAGCACACCCCGAAAGGTACCGGAGCGGGGGGTGGGCCAAGCCAGGCCGAGGGGTGCCCGGGGCAGGGCGCCTGGTAGAGCCTCCCTCCCCCGGGTCTCCGCCATCCCTGCCTGGGGGCTGGGGCCCCTCCGTGTCCTGGGTGTCCCCCCAAGAGGCCACTTCGTTCTTGAACTCCAAGGTCCCATCCGCAGAAGCCTGGCTCTTAATCTCCTGCCTGGCCTCTTTTCCTAGAGCCAGTGCTGGGGCCGAAGTTGCGGGGTTGGGGCAGGCTGCGCTGGAAGAAGCCGGGGTCCTGCCAGGAGCCCTCCCCCTCCCTCCCCACCAAAGCCCTGGAACCTCGGCTCCCTTGAGGGACGCGGGATCTGGGGCCTCCTGCCCAACGCGATGGGGAGAAACGCTGGGCCTGGAGTTAGGATCTGGCGAAGGGCGCTAAGGCTCAGAAGCCGTGGTATAGATGGGAGCGTTTCCCCCTGCTGGGCGGCCCCAGGTGCTGAGGAGGACCCAAGGGGCGGTGCAGGGCGGAAAGAACTAGAAACTGAGGCCAGATCCTCCTCCAGGGAGCGCGCACAGGCCTGCCCTCTGCGGTTCCGCGCGCGCGTAGATCCTTATCCCCTTGGGGAAAGCAGTTGGGTGGCGTCTGCTAAAACCACAATGCCATAGAGCACCAGCCTTTAACCTCGCTTAGGTGAGTCGTCTGTGGAAGTAAGAGGAATCGGGACCAAAGGGATCAGGGTTACTATGCTAACGAGTGTCCGGGGGTGGACAGGTGTTGAAGCAGGTCTGGCCCCTACTGTCGTGCGTTGCCTGCGTGGGTTAGGGAATGTGCCCGGTAGTGGCCAGATTGAGTCACGGCATAAGTAGTCTCTCTTTTGGTAAAAACTGCTGTATGTATACATAGTCAGATTTTTATAAAAAAAATTCATAAAGCTCTCGGATCCAACTTGCCATAGCTTACCTCTATGTGTGTGTGTGTGTGGGGGGCAGTGCAGAGTGGATGGACCAGGCATAGGGTGGCCCAGAAAATGGTTCATTCTTTTGTATGTATTTTTTGAAAGTGCGGGATTAGGGCAGTCTTTAAAATTTTGTGTTTTTCAAATATGTTTGTTTATTTTCAAGAGCATAGTAGTCAAAAGCAGATGGTGCTAGTCCTGCTCCCGCAGGCCCTGGGGCTCCTCTTTGCAGGAATGTCAGCAACGTCTGCCAAGCCCTTAGCTCAGGGTCCGCCCCACTGCTCTGAGAGGCCTCCGCATCCGTGGGCTGGATGCGGGGGAAATCTAATGACCCCAGTACACAGGGCCGCTGGCCTGATGGAGCCCAGAGGAGTGAAACATGACACGATTACCTTGTATGTGTAAGACTGGGGCAAACAGAGAGGAGGAGACATGGGAGGACCAGGCTGGGACCTGTGGATGGAACACAGACAAAAGGGTCACAGGAATGAGATGAACCATCGCAGTGACAGCACCGGGCACACAAATGAGCACTGAAATAGGAAACTGGAGCAGGCACCGATGCCCCTTTGCCTTTTCTCAGAGCGCTCCTGCCACCGTGTTACAAATGCCTGTGGCAAGAGGGGCCTTGCCGAGGTGTGGATGGACGTGTAGTCAGCCCGCAGGCAGTGCCGGCCGTCGTCATGGCTGATGTCTTGTTTGCAGAGGCCTGGAACCCGACACAGGATGCAGAGCTTCCTGAGGCTGCTGAGGGAGAGTGGGGGCACTGGGCCCCCCTTGGAGGGGCTGGTGACTCTTGCAGGCAGACTGTGCCGGGACCTCCAGGATGACCCAGCCCAGGTGCAGCCCTTGGTCACTGCCGTGTTGGACAGTCCCCTCCGCCTGCACCTCCTGGACAATGCGGATGTGGCCCTCGTGTGTGCCCGAGCGCTGGCCCAGCAGGACCAGCACCAGGCTGCTTGCCGTGTCCTGGAGGTAAGACCCGTCTCGGGGCCGGGGGCGGAGAGCCACAGCAGCCACCACCGTCTCCAACCCAATGGAAGTGCCTACAGGTCGACAAGAACCTGGGGAGAGACATTCTAGAAACCAAACCACTCTCTGTGCAGAGTTCTAACTACCTTAATAATTGGAGGCCAAACTGTCTGTTTGTGAGCTCCATTTTGAGTGGTTGGTCCTGGCTTGGAGAGTTGGGATCCCAGTGGGTAAGACAGTCACACAGACTGGGGACCTCAGTCCCTTAGCTGCAGGCCCGTGGCTGGGCACGCAAACTGAAAGTATGGTCGTCACTCATCGGGTGGTACTTGGGCACACAACTCCTCTGGCAGCGACGGGACATGAAGCCGTTACAGTCTGTGTAGCCACTTAATGTGACCACAGGACATTCTGCTACCTAAATACTGGTACGTTGGGTTACAGCATGCATCACATAGGACATGCCTGCATTATTTCCTAAACTCTGAGAAATTCTGAATTCCAAAATACGTCTGGCTAAAAGGGTTTCAAAGAAGGGATGTGAGGGCCTGTTTTTCCCTCTTTCACCCCATCATACAGCTCATGCAGAATTCATGCTGAATTTATTTTCAAGATAGTTCTTTTTTTTAAAGATTTGTTTATTTTTCAAGATTTTATTTATTTATTTGAGAGGGAGCATGAGCAGGGGGAGGAGCAGAGGGAGAGGGAGAAGCAGACTCCCCGCTGAGCAGGGAGCCCCACGTGGGACTCGATCCCGGGACGCCGGGGTCATGACCTGAGCCAAAGGCAGATGCTTCACCGATGGAGCTGCCCTGGCACCCCGAGATACTCTGTTCTTTCCAGTTCTTTCAGTTTCCACGCCCTTCGCCACAGGCTGCATAATGCCCTCGTGTCCCCTTGGTTTGTTCTTCACGTAGCCGCTGGAGAGCTTGCAGGCGCCGATGAGCCACAGTGAGCCCCGAGCCCATGGTCTGCGCTTGCCTGTGACCCGCTCTCCCCGTCAGCCTCTCCCTGAGCTTTCTCCGCGGTCATCACGCTGCTTCCGTCTGTTCAGACAATCCCGAGGCCTCAGGACCTCAGCACGTGCTGCTCCCTCTGCCGGCGGCTGGAGCCCGGCTGCTTGTGTGGCTGCTGCCTTTCCTCCTCGCTGGTTTCTGCTGTAAATGTCTCCCCAGCTTGGCGGTGCCCCCTTTATCGTGCAGCGTAGAGTCTGGTTCCCCCTGTGGCTCCTTCCTCGGGTCTTTGTTCCGTCGGCCTCCCCGGCACTGTGCCCCATGAGGGAGGCCCCCCCTCGGTTGTGCTTACGTAGCAGCTGTGAGTCAGCGGGGCTCCGTGTTTCATGTCTGTCAAAGTGAACAAACAAGGGAAGACATGGGTTGTGGTGCCCTGTCGAGGCTCTCGGGGAAATGTGTGAATGACATCGGTGATGGAAAACCCCCGGAGAGGGGATGTAAACTCGGTCTGGACGGCCCTCAACGTCTCTGAGGAGATGACATGTAGGGGAGACCTGAAAGAGACGGCGGGGATGGCACACCAAGGAGGGGGCATTTCCTGCCCAGGGCCACGTCCTGCAGGGGGCACGTTTCCCTGACAGCTGTGCCCTAGGCTGATGGCTGCATCCTGGCAGCTGACTGGAAGTCACAGCCTCGCAAAATGGGCTTTTTCCGCTCTGTGGAGTGAAGGCTGAATGACTGTCGGCACCTCCCTTGCCAAGATGATGCTGAGAACATTGGGGTTAAATGTGGGAGCCACACGCCGACCACAGGGCTGTGTCGAGGGGAGGCCAGCACTGGGCATCCTTGGCCATCTCTGGAGTCTGGTCGTGTGAACAGGTCATGCTGGATTGGTGAGCTTGGTGGGGCGCAGACCAGAACCACTTCATTCCTCTCGGCTCAGAATGCACTCCCTGAGCATGCGAGGGGCAGCCCTGCTGGGTGGGAGAGGAAGGTCTTTCATGCAAGTTGGGGGTCAGCCCTTGGACCCTCAAGTCTGATCAGGTGCCTCTAATTGTGGCTCTGCCTCTCATGTGTTGTGTGGCCCCGGGCCCATCGTTTGCCTTCCCCTCGCCTCGTGCTCCCCATCTGTAAGGAGTGGCAGACAGCTGCTTTGTGTGTGCAGGGGGCGGGGCTGACAGGACCTTGCCCAGGCCCTCAGCCAGCAGCTCCTCCCGCAGCTTGGGTCAGGTTGGAGGGCAGTGCTCTGGGGGCAGCCCGCCTCAGCAGGCTTTTCTCGACAGGGATGCCAGGTGCCTGGAGGCAGCCAGGAGCTGGTCCAGCTCTGGAACGACCTTCACTACCGTCTGGTCATGAAGCGGCTGGGCGTGGCCACGCTCACCCCAGTGCAGAAGTTCCGCTGCAGAAAGAGGTACACCGCTGGCCTATATTTGTGCATGCTCCCCATGACTCCTGGGGGTGTTTCATCTAAAACCACGGAGGGGCTGAGGTGAAGCAGAGACAGGGAGGTAAATGTAGGAAAAGTCACAAGAAGTAGTAATCATCAAAAGGTAACAGGCTCTGCGACAGCCAGTGTGCCCAGCACTGAGCCACCCTCTCCACCTGCTCAGCCGGCCATGGGGGTGCACCCCTACTTAGGCCTGCAGGGCGAGAAGGGCCACTGCCTTCCCGTGAGGGCTCTGAAGGCTCTGCAGGGAAGGAGGCAGCCAGCGGACATCCCGACCTCACTCTCTTCCTCTTGTCTTCTCCTCCCGTGGGAGATGCCTAGCACATGTGCCTTTAGTCATCTGATTCCCACAGACAGGCTCTGCAGGTGCCACGGGCCGGGGTCTTCAGCACCACCCCTCAGGGCTGCGGGACCTTTCAAAGAGAGGTAAAGATGAGAGTGATGGAGGCGTCAGACAAGATGCATGTGGTGCTTAGGAGATTGCCTGGCACATGAGGGATGCTGGGTCTGCGTTAATAGTAATTACCACCACGGCCGTTATCAGCACTAAGGAAACATTACAACTGCTAATTACTATTATTCCTTCATTACCACTTATGGATGAGGAAACTGAGGCACAGAAAGGTCAGAATTTGCCCAAGCTGTCACAGGAGAGAGATGCAAAGCTGGGACTCCAGGCTAGACACTGAGACCGTAGAGCCTTTCTTCATCCTGGGTGTTGCCCCCTGACCAGGAAGGGCTGATGTCCTCTGAGTTCCTGGCAGCCCAAGTAATGGGATTTTTGCACCATGGGGCCTGGTAACCAGGAGAAGCAATGGATTCTTTCTGGATCCACGGTGTCTGTCAAAGAATGAGATATGTCCCCAAAGCCCAGTAGTTCAGCCTTATGGTCTTCGGGAATGGGATCCTTTCCCTCCATATAGTTGCCGATGGCCTGCCAGAGTACAGTTCAGTAAATGATTTGGGGATCAGTATGCACTGTTTGTAAAGAGGCCCCTGATTGCTGGGTGCTGTTGGAGTTGCTGGGGATATAGCCTGAGCCCTACTCTCCTGGAGCTGACACTTGGTGCAGACAAGGGACAGTAGAGAGGACACAAAGTAGATTCCATCATTCTGAGCGGGAGTACTAGACACAGAATGTGCTTAGTAAAGGACTGTGTCGCCTTTGTTCTTTGTTTTGGGGTGGAGGGTGCTGGACAGGCTCCTCTAAGCCTTGGCAGAGGAGGCCTGAATGTGGGGATGGCCGCCCTCGGAGGTGTAAGGATAGGGTGGTAGTGGAGTTAGAGCGATGGTTGGTCCACCAGCTGAGGGTGGTAGTTTCTCCTAGAGGGGTGTCACCCAAGGGTGGGTTGGCATAGGAGCAGAGGCAGGAGGCTCTCGGGAGTCTCTGGGTGTGTCAGGACAGATTTTGGAGGATTTGCTGAGGAGCTGGATGTGTTGGAGGAGGTAAAGAGAGAATAAAGCCAGCCTGCTGGGCTCTTGGCCTGACTGGCTGGAACATGGTGGTTTCTCACTGAGCTGCACAGAGCTGGGGCCTGGGGGAGGACGGGGAGAGTGAACGATCAAGCTCCATTTGGGATGTGGCATGTGTGGGACGCATTTTTGACATCCACAGTGGTTTGTTTAGTTGGCCTTTGAGTATCTTGGGTGTTCCCCGCTGGTACCATTTGTCTCCTTTTGGAAAAATCCATGTGGATACACAGGAAAGTGAGTAGCGTCACCGACCTCAGTCTCCTCGTCACCCGCTCTCTATAGCTCTGGGCCACTGGTCGGTGAGCGGTCCCGGAGAGCCCGGCGAGGGGTGCAGGTGAACACGGGCGGATGCTGGGCCCCTCGGTCCTTCCGAGGAGGGACTCGGCAGCACGAGCTTGGAGAGGAGGAGCAGCCGGCGAGAGGAGAGGACGCGTGGGGGTGCACAGTGCGAGCCCACGAGGTGCAAGCGGGAGGAGCGTCTGTAACCCCGTCCTCACTGTCCTTATCCAGGAACCCACCACCACCCTCCCTCTGCCCCGACGGCCTGAAGAGCCGGAACTTTCCCAGAGAGGTTCGCCAGAAGCTGCACGACTTCGCCTCTGCCGTGAGCACCAACCCCAGCAAGGCCGAGAGGGTAAGGGCCGAGAGGGTAAGAGCCGAGGAGGCGGAGGCCAGGCCGCCCTCCCCTTCGCTGACCCCCGACCTCAGGGAACCCCCACCCTTGTGGCTCCCCCCGCCTCCCGGGCCTTCCGCGGGGCCCTCTGCTGGGGCGCCGGGGGCTTCTGGCCCTCTGAGCCTCCCTGGGGGACAGGAGCTCACTGGCCTGCAGCTCCGGACCGTCCAGCCTGCGCACGGGGAGGGTCAGTGCCCTCCCGCCGCGCTTCTGGGCACGGGGTGCGGGGGTGAGGCGACGGCGGTCGCGGAGCTTCCGGTGGCGGGGAGGCAGGTGTTCGCAGAGCTCCGTGCAAAGTTGAGGCCGGCGGGCGCCATCGGCAGCGCGTCCCCGGAAGCTGAAGGGACTGGCAAGGCGCCGCCCAAGAGAGTTCGTTTCCGGCTGCTTCGAGGTCGGGACATGTTCTCTTCCCCTGCTTCAAAGCTCTGTCCAATCGGCGGGAGCTCCCCTGTGTTAGCTCCACCTACTTGTCGCCCTCATCCAATCGACAGGGCGTTCCCGAGTGGGGGCTTGCCCAGTCAGCGGGGCGTTCCCCGTGCCTGCTCCACCCACCGCGTTCCCTGTCCAATCGGCAGGGCTTTCCCAGCGATACCCGCGCCGGCTCTGCGGGCTGGCTTCCGGCGCTCGCGGACCTGTGGAACCTTGGCCGACGGCCTGTGGCGCGCGCCGGCTCCCTGCGTGGGTCCCAGGCCCTCGCTGCCTCCCGCCGGGCCGCGGCGCCACTCGGGCCCTCCCCGTGTCTGGGTTCGTCCGGCTGCGGCTCCGCGAAGGAGCGAGGCCGGGGTGGAGGGCGTCCCGCCTCGGAGGCCGCGCCGGGCGGGGGGCGGGAGGCGGGAGGCGGGACCCGGCCCTTCTGGTAGCCCTGGGCCTGGGGGCGGCGCTGGAGGCTGTGCTGTTTGGGGGCAGGAGAATCTGGCCTTGGAGATGAGCCTGAGCGCGGAGCAGGTGTACAACTGGTTCGCCAACTACCGGCGGCGCAGAAGGGCCCTTCTCCAGCGTCGTCCGCCAGCTCCGGAGGACGCGGCGGTGGACCTCCGCGTGAGGGAGACGGCTCCGGAGCCCCCGCAGCCCCCGGGCCAGCCCCGCCTTGGCCCCGGGGGTGCGGCCCGGCCTCAGTGGCCAGGTGAGAGGCTCCCGCGCGCCACGCTCTGCCCGGCACGCTTTTCTAGGGCTAGGCCTAGTGAGCGCCACTCTGTTCCGGGGGCGGGCCCTCCACGCCCAGTCTGCCCTTAGAGGGCGTTCCCTTGTGTGAGCGAGACCCCCGGAGCCGGGGTCGGGGTGGGTTCGCAGCGGGCGTGAGTGAGGCTGCAGCCGCTGTTTTGCACGTAGAGGTTACTGTGTCCGGGGCCGGGAGTCCGCGAGCAGACCCGAAGCGAGCCAGCCGGCCTGGGGGCGGGCTCCTGGGTTTGCAGTGACGCACTGGCTTCACAGGAGACATGTGAGCGGCGCACGAAGGACACTAATGATGCAGTAGTAGCACCCTTTGCCCGCAGGCAGGGCTGCTCCTAACCCGCTGGGAAGGAGGCTGGGACGCAGAGCTCCAGCAAGCCTCCCCCCACCTGACTGACCTTCAGCAGGACCAGAGGAAGATGGGCCTGCACAGTCCAGGGAGACCACTCAAGGGCCATGGGAGTCGCTGGCTCTGGCCCCAGACTTTTCTGGAGATGAGACTCTGCCGAAGCCATTGCCTCCCAGGTACTGCCATCCGCACAGCCCGTGGGACCATCTCCGTATTTACTTTCCCCATCCCGATTGGGTGAGCGGGCCTGTAGCACACATGTGGATGTTGGGACTGACAGTGGGACCACATCAGTGATTGCTGAGAGCAGAGCCCTCCGTGATTCTGGGGTGGGGAAGCTGCTGGTAAGGAGCCCATGTCAGGGACCCCCCACTTGCTCCTTGGAGCCTGGCTCGTAGCCTGACTAATGTATATGTTGGAGAAGGGGGAAAACAGGGTTGGAAAGAAACATGCTGGCTTACTTCACAAAGCCAAACCCTTGCTGTTGTTTCTTTCTTACTGTATTTTGTAGTGTTTGTATGTCGTTGAGTCCGTGACAGGTCATAGTTCTTGGATTCCTGATTATGCACTAGGCACTGTCGAAGCCTGGTCCCTCACCTGGGATGAGGCATGAACCTGGTGTAAGGGTAAGGAGAGTGCTGGCCATCAGCAGGACTAGGTCTGAGAGAGGGGCCAGGTTCCCCCTTGTGTAACCATCAAGCTGTGGACACTTTTTCCATCTGCCGTTGTGACATCGGCATCTCTCATGACCCTCCTTGTCTGCCCTTCCCGTGAAGGCTGGCAGTGCCCAGGTGTGTGAACTTAGGCAGGTTCCTGTGAGCTCTCAGTGCCGTGCGTTTCTCATCTGCGAGATGGGGAGGGGTATGATGCAGGTGGTTGCAGAAATGACAGGGCTAGGGGAGGGGGATCACAGAAGCCCAGGAGCACCATCTGAGACACACTGAGTGTGCAGTATCGAGTCTTTAAATTATTACCAGCTGCTGCCTGATGTTCTGTAAGATCAGCCACCGTCATTCATCCCCTGCTAGGGTCTTGCTCGTCATTCTCTGTTTTAGGTATTGTGGAACAGTGCTTCATTGAAGGTCCTTTTAAATCAGCAGCTAATGAGTCTTAGTGTTTTTTTAACTGTTGTGGAACCCTTGCAGCCACAGGTAGAACAGTAAAAGCAGTGTGATTAGGGTCACGGTGGGCCAGAAAGCCGTCAGTGGTTGAGCCGAGTTGGGAACCTGGATTCCCAAATGGGGCTGGAGTTTCCTCCCAGGCCTCTCTTCCCTGGCCTGAGGGAGTCTCTGCCCTCCAAGGGACGGTGTTTGCTGTCTTCCCCAGGTCTCTGCAGGGCAGTGAGATGTACCAGGATGGTCCTGGCCGAAGCCCTGCCACTCTCCCCCACATCTGCCCAGGCCTTGGCCTCTGCCCTCTGACTGCTGGCAGTGACATGCTGGACTCTAACCTGGCTGCCCCTGAGTCATGGCTGATGTCCCTTGCACTGGCGTCCTCCAAGGAAGTTTCCTTCCAGACTGGGCAGCTGGTCCAAGGGCATGGGCTGGACCTCACGATGCGGCCTGCAGATGCCACTGTGGCTGTGTCCATCACTGCCCTCGGTGAGCCCAGCTCCACAGGTGGGTCCATTCCAGACAGACCATGCTCTTCTGCACGAGATGCCACAACTAGTCAGGTCTCATTTGAGGGGGTGTGGGAAGGGGCAGCACTCTCCCGCTTTTCTAGTTGCAAAGTAAAATGTACATACGACTAAAAGTAGGACGGTGAGGACAGGGTTAAAATGAAAGGAGACAGCTGCCACCCTGCACTCCCATTGCAGTCCACCTTGTACTCTGTCACCACGTGCTGCAGCAGAGGACAGGTCACCGCATCTCATGATCTAAGTATCATTTCCTTAGTTTCATGTTAGTTATCGTTGTAGCTGTAACTACCTGTAGAGAGTGTGTATTTAGATACATGTTTGCCTACCAGATTCAAAAGCATCTTGTGACATTTCACCTTATATGGAAGCTATTGGCACCGTCAGTTTACCCATCACCTAAATTTCTTAGTCTTCTGTGTTTCTATCTTTACTTTCTTGGGGTTTCTAATTGTCTTCCTTTTTTTTAGATTACCTGTTTTTGTCACACATGTAACTTCTCCTGTTTTTCCAAGTGTCTCCTCTGAAGACCAGTGGCTGGGAGGCCTCCTTTCTGTTTCCACCCAAGTGATGTTTCCCTAGACCTGGGGTGGAGTCACCACCCCAAGAACGCTCCTTTCATTACCTCCCGGGTTTGGGTCAGTGTTTCCTGAGTTGTAGGTCTTGTCCTGTCTTCACTGACTTCCTTGTTATGTTTGAGAACGTCTTCACTGTGCAAGAAAGGGGGCTTGCGAGATAAATTTGCTGATTCCTTACGTGCTGTGAAATTATCCTTAACCTGCTCTCACCTTTGATGAATAAATTGGCAGGGACAGAATTTTGAGTTTAAATACTCTCCCGTAGGTATCTGCAGATACAGTCATGTCATTGTTTGTAGCATCTGATGTTCGTGTCACTTGTTGGCTTCTGTGCAGATCACATGGAATTTTTGTTTTTGTTTGTTTGCTTGCTTTAAGTCTGGGTGTTTGGAAATTTCACAGTGATGGTGTGAGGTGTGTCTCTTTAATCCACTTTCCTATTAAGCCTTTCGATTTAAAGAACAGGTAACAATGTATCCTGTAAGGTTTGGGTATTTTTTGGATAATATTCCTTGATAATTTTCCTCCTCCATGTTCTTCATCCTCTTTAGAGCACAAATCTTACCAGGATTTTGGAAATCCTGGGCCAGTCTCCCCAAGTGCTTACCTTTTTCTTACGTTTCTTTTCTTTTTCATTGTATATGCTTTGGGGGCATTAGAGTCTGTCTTTCAAAACTCCTAATTTGATAGTTATACTTTAAGAGAATTCCAGGCTCTTTTTTTTATTTGAATTTTCCTTTAGTCAGGGGTTGTGTTGCTTTTTATAGGTGCAGTATCTTTTTTTTTTTCTGAGTATTCAAAATATAAAGTTTCAAAATTATGCTCTGTTGTCTGAAGGCGGGAATATTGGGGCTGTGGATTCTGGTCCTTCCTTGAGTAGAGAAAGGTGAGGGGCTGGAAAGAGGAGGAGCCCTGGAGACTCCTTGCTCTGGACGCAGCTTTTCAGTTTGATCATATTCGTCCTTCATTTGTCCACATCTTCCACTGTGAGAGATCTACGTTTGTCCATCCCATATTTACCACCAAGGCTGGAGTGGGGTGGTCACTGGCTGTATTCACATGGGGGCGAGGGGAGCTGGTGTTCACACCAGGTCCAGCACAGGTGAGAGGTGACGTTCTGTATGAATTGGTGAGCCTCCCTGCCGACTGACCGCCTGAGCACCAGGTTGTTACCCTGCTTTCCCTTTCCCTAACTTTCTTTACCTTCCCTCCCACTTTAAGATTCTCAGGACCTGATCTCAATCCCAGCTTGCTTTCAGGTGCCCTACCAACAAAGGATGGTACTTGTGTCCTGGGTCTGCAGAACTGGGGAGGTCTCCCTCCCACTTACTGCCCCTCTCCTTATGCTCCTTTTGTTCTGGACTTTTGGCTTCTTCTCTTCCTTTTGGAGGAAGATGATGTAATCTAGTGATCTTTTAAGTCTGAACCAGCAATGCTCAAATTAGCCCTTCAATTGTATTTAACATACCTCAGAGTGTTTCTAGAGTTCTGCAGAAAAGAGGAAACAGCAGAAAGTGGGGGTGGAATCATGTAGTGAATGGTCAGGGAAGTTCCTGAGGTTGGGCTGCAGGCTGGCAAGTTAGGTGGTGACTCTGGCAGACGGGCGGGGGGCGGTGGAGGGGGGACAGTGCATGCCCAGCCCAGCCGGCCTGTTGTTTTTTCTGAGGTCAGGGAGTCTGACGCTGGGCTTACCACCGGGTAGACTTCTTACCTTCCCTCGCCCTGAAGTGTCTGCTGGCCCAGAACTGATCCAGTCTACCATGGCTTATGTGTAAGAGTGAGAGACATACGGGGATATCCTCTGCAACATTTTCTATAGAAGGAGGAGCAGGGTAAGGTCGTGCCACATCGCATCTCTGTGAAATTGTGGTGCAGCATGAGATGGAAGGTGGCAGTGGATGTGGCCCAGCCTCTGAAGAGCAGGCATGAGGCAGACCGAGAAGTTCTCACACAGCGGCAGCGGCACCGGAGGCCTCAGGTCTGCGTGGATGAAGCAAAATTTGAAGTCCACAAAACTGGACTTCGCTTTTGTTTCTGGAAGCCTAAAAAGGCCATTGAGATCAATAGCTGTGACTCTAACTCAGTAAGGGAGGTTGAGGCTTGGGGCCGGCCAGGCTGGACGCTGCTTCTCTCTGTGGAGGTCTCAGTGTTGGTGCTTGTGGGCTGTGTTCTGTTCTCCCAGCACTGGGGTGTGGAATTTGCTTCTGTATAGGATTCGCTGACCCACCTGCTGGCAACCCCCCGAGCGTGTACCTGGAGGAAGGAGCATGCAGCAGCGGCGGCTTCCTGGTGACACGGCCTCCCGACTTCCTCCTGGCCCAGAGGTGAGCCACACAGAGCCATGGGTGGGGTGTTCCAGGTTTATAGACGTGGCACCTCGCATGTGCAGATCAAGTCCTTTCCTTACGGGTTTCTGGAAAATACAACATCATCCCCACCCTGCATCTACTAGAAGAGGGTGGTTTTTCCCTGAGACAGAAGAACACCCAGAAATTTCAGAGCAGACACAGGTGTTGGTGTTGGGGACTGTGCTCCCACTTTGCCTCTTCCCCAAGATCACCCTGGATCCCAGAAGCCGCTTTTTTGGCATTTTGTTTTCACCAGATGGAGGTTGGGTTTTTAAGCAGCATCAAGATCCTGATTTTATATTCCAGACTGTAGTTTGAAAGGTGCATGAGAGAGCTGGGAGTAGCCTCGGTGCTGCAGGCTCTGGCTGTGGGGGCCAGGACGACAGGCCAGGAGAATCTGGGGGCTGAGAAGACGGATTAGAGGAGCATGAGAAGTCAGGGGTCCTCTGTAGGACAGGGATGCTGCAGTAGGGGTTGCCAGGACTGGGTTCCCAACGTTCATAGCCTCCCCAGTCTGGGAGCTGAAGGCCAGGTGCCCAGCACGAGCAGAATTACAGGGCAGCGTGTGAGAGAGAAGGGGAGCGGTTGGTCAGGTCACAAGTTCTGCTTGCTGAAACAGCCAGAGCGTGAGAAAATACAGACTTTGCAGATGGGCTCACTTTTCTGTTCATGTCCAGGAACCTGGATGGAGAAAATGCCACTGTCAGGTCCCCTTATGGCCGCTCACCCTTGCACTCTGATGGCCCAGCCCATCCTTGCTCCGATGTGATGACCTTGAGTCATTCTCTAATAGTAGATTCATTGGGAGTCGTTAGCCTTCCGTAGAGCACCGTGTTTAGGCGATACAGATGCTGGTTTTCTGAGTGTGACTTCTGTATCTACCATGTGCTGAGCCGTGTAGATCAGCCGCTCCTGCTGCCGCCTGCAGGACCACGGATCTGCTTTCTTTAGCTGCATTTTTAAAAGTCCCATGTGAATGGAATACAGAAGTGTTAAACTTTGTGGAGGGGAGAGAGGGTCTAGCTTCTCTGACTCTGCTTGAGTGTTTGGGGATTTTACCCTGTTGCCCTGTGTATCGGTCCATTCATCTGTGTGAGTTCTGTCCCTTGATGCGGATGGACCGTGGTGTTTGGATCCATCACCTCTTGGTAGCCATCCCTGGGTTCCCAGTTTGGGGTCGCTGTGAGCACTCCTCAATGCATGTGGGTCTGCCTGTGTGCCTTCATGTCTCTGGGGTGTGTACATGCCTAGGAGTGGAATGGCCATAGGTGCGTGTTTGTCTTTTTAGGGAACTGCCAGGCTACTGTTGTCCTGAGTGGCTACACCTGTTACCTTCCCCGCTGTCCCTGCTGCTCCCCTGATTAGATTCTGATGGCTCCCCAGGGCTGCCCCTTGACCTCTTCCTTCAGGTTTCTGTTTGTTGGTCCATCTCTGTGAGCCTCCTCAGGTGCTCTCTGCCTCACCCAAGCCACCTGCCTGGGGTGTCACACAGGTCCCTCTAGCACTGGAGGGCCCTGTGGGAGGACACTTCTTAAAGTGTGTGTTACCCCTGGAAGGGCTACTTATATGCAGAGAGCTGTCAGGTCATGTTGCTCGCAGGGTGGACCATGACCTGGTGCCCCTCAATATGGAGCTTGTCCTGACGTCTCTTTTCCAGTCCGCTGGAGTTGGCACCAGGCCCTTCCTTCTCCAGCCCTGTTTCTGCTGTGGACCTGAGCCAGCCTGTGCCCTCTAGCCAGGTGAGAGCCTACCACCAGGGACTCTCGGTGTCGCTCTTAACTTTTGGATCCTCAGGTCATACCTTTGGAGTGAGTAAACCAGGCACATGTCACAAGGGAAGGGGTGCTTCAAGGCTGGACAACAGTTGAATGGGGCCCGGGAGGTGGGTGCTGTGGGCTCGTGTTTCTTACTGAGTCCAGAGATGGGGTGTCCTGGAGTAAGGGGTGGCAGGTGGGAACGTGGAGCCAGGCAGAAGGTGCTTCCGTGTGTAATGCTGTGTTGGCTTTCCAGGTGCAGTGGCCCGACGGCCAGGCCTCCAGTGATGCCTTCTGGGGAGCCAGAATGCTTCTTGAGCTTTCAGGGGGCAGCCTGGGTTGAGATGTCCCTTTGGGGTATCCAGCCAGTGCCCCCTGGGGAGCAGGTGTGGACATCGAGTGTTTCAACACATGTTGCATAGAGCTTTATTCCGACTGAAGAGAGGCCCCAGGGTTCCTTCAGGGGGTTCCAGTGAGAAGCACTGAGGCTGCGTAGTCCCCTGCCGTGTTTGCATAGTTTGGTTGGCAGCTCACTGTATCAAAGGAAGCATTTGAGAAACGCTCTTGAGCTCAGAAGTCCAAGGGGTCTGTTTCACTCAGGCAGTGGGAGATTGTGGATTCGAGCTCCTGGGCATGTAGGTTATGGGCAGGGAAGGCCTTTCTGGAGATAAAGGAGAATGTTGCACGGCTGTCTGCCCTCCCTGCCCTATGACAAGGCCGAACTTCACCCAGTTAAGTTGGCGAGTGGGGCGTGGGCAGTGTTGTGACACTTCTGTGTCTTGGGGGTGATGTGGTTGGGACGGCTCAGGCAGGGTGGGCCAGGGTACCTTTTCCCTGCAGGTTGGAGTTCACTGTGTTTGTAAAACAGATGTTCTGTTGAATTAAATTACAATTCAGTGTTCTGAACTCTCCCCTTTTACTGACCTGACTACATCTTGGACACCTGTCCCTGTCAGTCCTTTGCCTTTCTGTCCCTGGCTGGCATTTTGTGGCCTGAGTGTGCTTTGAGTGATGTACCAGTACCCTATTGATTTGATTGTTTCTAATATGTCTGGTTTATAAGCAACACCACAGTGGGCATCTCTGCCCTCTGCCCTTCACCTATTTGTTGTGGGAAAAGGAATTTCCCTCGTGCTAGATGCCACCATGTCCAAGCACGTAGGGCCCCAGGGGCCGAGTGTGATGTGACTCCTGATGCAGATGACTTTCTTTGTACAGGGGTGACTTTGACACTCAGGACTGTCACTGGCAGGAATAAGCCCTTAGTCCTTGCCTCACCCATTGTATCAGTTGAAAGTTGTGTGCTGAGCAGTTCCTCTGATACATCAGGGAGCAAAGGCCATTTAGTGCTCGCAGGTGGCTCACAGGATAGACAGGAATAAACTGGCAGTCATGGGTGGTTGCTGAGAAGGTGGTGTGAAGCGAGGGATGGCTGAGAGCCCAGGATATGTGGTGCCTGAATGACAAGACACTGAGAGCTTCCTGAAGGGGGGGGCAGCTGAGTTGAGACACCTGTGCTCCCTAACCACAGCCCCCCCGGGCTCTCAGCTGTACCCCTTTCTCCTCACTTTTACTCTGTAGACCCTGGACCCATCACATCCCTTCCTCATCGCCATATTGGTGCTGCCCGAGCACCAGCAGTAATATGTCCTTCTTTTCAGGGACACTCACTCTCATCCTGTTCCCTAGAATCAGGAATCTTTTAGTTGTCAAATACTTCTTTATTCTGAAACAGTCACAAACTTAAAAAAAGTTACAAATAGAGCACAAATTACTGAGCTGATGCCTGTACTCCGTGTGAGTGTGTGTGTGTGTGTGTGTGTGTGTGTGTGTGTGTGTGTGTGTGTTTCCTTTAGATAAGGAATTCTGCATTCCTCTAGTGCGGTCATCAGTCAGGAAGTCAGGAAGTCAGTGCTGGTCCTTCACTGCCTTCTTCCAGACCCCATGAAAGTCAGTTGTCCCAGCAACACTCTAAGTGACAAATCACATCACGTAGCCCATGCTGAGTGCTCTTGACGGTCTTACTGCCATTCAGGCCACAGCAGTGTACTTGAATGACCTTGACACTTTGGAAGAGTACAGGCCAATTACTCTGTAGAATGTCCCCCAGAATGGCCATGTTGGACATTTTCATGTAATTTGGAAAATTCCTTTTTGGATGGACTATCGCAGAAGTGACACGAGGCACTTACCGTGTCTTACAGATGGCACATGATTTTGGTTGTCCCATTACTGTTGGTGCTCATTTGATCCCTTCATTAGGGTGTTTCCTGCCAATCCTCTCCACTATAGTTACTCTGCTTGTATATTTTGGGAGGTCATGCTTTGCAGCTGTGCAAACATGCTGTTCTTCATCAAGCTTTCCATTGACTCATGAATTTCTGGTGTGCTTCCATTTTCATAATTCATGAACACATTACTAACCTAGTTCTGGCATCAGATTGGCACCAGCTTCCCTCATGTACTGTCACAAAGTCTATGCCTGTGAAGATTCACTCTTCAGCCTTATGGGCCAGTCAGCCAAGTGGTGATTTGTTTTAATCATTGGGGTATTTAACTCATCGTACATTACCTGTCACCATGGGAAGCACGGCTCAAACTCATCCTGCCCTCAGTCATTTACAGTCTGCATCAAATATCTGCACAGTTGATAAACACTTCAGAGAGGGTTAGGGATTAACCCTGGGTTGTCAAGGCCCTTTTGCCTTCCATGGGAATGTGCAGAGCTCTGGACCCATCCCAGTCTTAGCCTTTCCCGAGCCACAGGGAGGTACCTATGTGTGAGGCAAGAGCCTCCTGAACAGGCTGTGCGAGCATCTCCTGGGTAGCTTCCTCCCCCTACCCTTTACAGACACCTGACTTGATCCTGAAAGTTCCAGAGCACAGACTCAGCCAGCTGGATTGTCTCCATTTTGTGGCAAATGGACTGAAGTCTCTGGAGCTGACTGTTAACTGAGACCCGAGCTCCTTTGGAGGGCCTCCTATGCAGAGGTCAGATGTCCTGTGAGGCTGGAGGCCTCACCCCCTCCCACATGCCCAGCACCTGTGGGAGTGGCCACTCCTCACAGTGTCCTGCCACTCAGCTGCCACGCTGAGGCCCACCACTTCCCTTTCTGCTCTCTTGATCCCAGGCTCCTTTGAGAAGAGGAATGTTGGCTCTACAGACTATTCTGCCCTCACCCTCTTAAGGGGCCAGCCTGGGTCCAGTGGACATAGGTGAGGTGCTGTGACCAGGTCGAGGGTCCTCTTTTTGTGTCTTGCTGAGGCACTTGCCCTCCTGAGATGAAAAAGGGTATGGTGGTGGTTTCAAATGGCTGATAGTTCTCAGAGGGGCCCAGAGGAGGTGTCAGAGAGACTCTCCGGGCTCCAGTAATGGCAGGGGGGGATGTTCAGTGACCAGCTCCAGGGAGGTCAACTTCTCCGCCTCTCCTTGTCTACATAGTTGTGTGGGCCCCAGGAGGTTGAGAGCTGTGGCCAGACCTCCCACACAATCAGGCCCAGAAATGATCACCCAGCAATGGCCCCAGTGTATGAAGGGTCCTGCCTTCACCCCCAATGTCCATGGTGTGGAGACTGATGGAGAGGGCATAGGGTGCCTGTATTGATATCTTAGGCCAAGCTACATGGCACAAAATAACAGATTTGGAGGTGTGATATGGGTGATGTCATTGTGAAGGCTCAAGGGGAACTTTCTCCAGGTTCCAGTACTTCTTGATTTGGGACTGCAGAGCGCCAGTCGTCTGTCTGTCTTTCTTTCTTTCTTTCTTTCTTTTTTTTTTTTTTTGAAAGATTTTATTAAAAAAAGATTTTATGTATTCATTTGAAAGAGAGAGAGAAAGAGAGAGAGCATGAGAGGGGAGAAGTAAGAGGGAGAAGCAGACTCCCTGCTGAGTAGGGAGCCCAATGTGGGACTTGATCCCAGGACTCCAGGATCATGACCCAAGTCAAAGGCAGTTGCTAATCAACTGAGCCACAACTGGATCATCTCTGAAGACTATTTTCATAACAGGTCTCATTCAGGGATTTTGGGGATTAGGATTTCTGCATATGGGAGGGGAAAAAAGATGGTGGAGGAGTAGGGGACCCTATTTCAACTGGTCCCCTGAATTGAGCTGGATATCTGCCAGACCATTCTGAACCCATGAAATCAACCTGAGATGTAAGAAAATATGTCTGGAGCTCTACAAACAGAATATCTCTGGCAGTTGGTCTTGAGGTATGAAGCGGGGAGCTGTGATTCTGCAGGCAAATAATGGAAGATAAACAGAAGGGGAAGGGATTCTCTGTGAACTTGTGCCAGGAAGTTGAGGTAACAAAAGCCTCCTGCCGGGGCGCCTGGGTGGCTCAGTGGGTTAAGCCTCTGCTTTCGGCTCAGGTCATGGTCTCAGGGTCATGGGATCAAGCCCCACATCAGGCTCTTTGCACAGCGGGAAGCCTGCTTCCCCCTCTCTCTGCCTGCCTCTCTACCTACTTGTGATATCTCTCTCTGTCAAATAAATAAATAAAATCTTTAAAAAAAAAAAAAAGAATGGATGGAGAGACAAGGCTCTTGCAAGACTGGGGAAACAAAGAATATGTGACCACCAAGCCAACCCTGCAAGAAATATTAAGGGGGGTTCTATAAAAGGAAAAAGACCCCAAGATGATAGAGAAGAGAAATTTACAGAGGCAGTCTATAGAAATAAGGACTTCACAGGCAACATGACAAAATGATATCTTTCAATAGTCACTCTTAATGTGAATGGCCTAAATGCTCCCATGAAATGGCACAGAGTTGCAGATTGGTTAAAAAGACAGTACACTTCCCTATGCTGTCTACAAGAGACTCATTTTGAACCAAAGATGCATCCAGACTGAAAGTGAGGGGATAGAAAACCATTTTTAATGTCAATGAACCTTAAAAGAAAGCTGAGGTAGCAATTCTCCTATCAGACAAATTAGATTTTAAGCTAAAGACTGTAGTAAGAGATACAGAAGGACACTATATCATTCTTAAAAGGCCTATCCAGCAAGAGCATCTAACAGTTGTATATATCTATGCCTCCCCAAATGGGAGCAGCCAACTACATAAGCCAACAGTTAACCAGAATAAACATTGCTAATAATATGTTAATAGCAGGAGACCCCAAAACTCCACTCTCCGCCATAGATGGATCATCTAAGCAGAAAATCAACAAAGAAATGAGCTTTGAGTGACACACTGGACCAGATGGACTTCATATATACAGAACATTGCACCCTAAAACAGCAGACTACTCATTCTTCTCAAACTCAACATTGAGCTTTCTCCAGAATAGACTACATACTGGATCACAAATCAGGTCTCAATTGATACCAAAAGACTTGAGATTATTCCCTGCATATTCTCAGACCACAATGCTTTGAAATGAACTCAGTCACAAGAAAAATTTTGGAAGACATTCAAACACATGGAAGCTAAAGACCATCCTGCTTAAGAATGTTTGGGTCAGGGGTGCCTGGGTGGCTCAGTGGATTAAGCCTCTGCCTTCAGCTCAGGTCATGATCTCAGGGTCCTGGGATCGAGCCCCACATTGGGCTCTGCTCAGCGGGGAGCCTGCTTTCCCCCACACCCCCACTCTGCCTGCCTCTCTGCCTACTTGTGGTCTATGCCTATCAAATAAATAAATCTAAAAAAAAGAATGTTTGGGTCAACCAGGAAATCAAAGAACTAAACAATTTATAGAAACCAATGAGAACGAAAACATATCAGTCAAAAACCTGTGAGAGGGGCGCCTGGGTGGCTCAGTGGGTTAAAGCCTCTGCCTTTGGCTCGGGTCGTGATTCCAGGGTCCTGGGATCGAGCCCTGCATCGGGCTCTGCTCAGTGGGAAGCCTGCTTCCTCCTCTCTTTCTGCCTGCTTCTCTGCCTACTTGTAATC